CACTAGACCTATTGTTTTCTATAAATTTAATGCTCTATATACGCTTATGATCCATCTTTCTTTTTGAATAATGCAGAAAGATTTTTCTATGACTTAGTTTGACTGATTAGATGCTTAAGCAAAGCAGCAAAGAAACACTACATTTCCTTGAGACTGGTTGTAAGGTTGAAATTGGATGTACGGCGGTAACCAAAATTCATCGAAAAATTCCAATTCCGTAATAAAACTATTCACAAGTTTGGTGTTAGTTGGCAACAACGGTTCATGCGGAATCTGTGCGATCAGCCATCTGTTGTATCTCGTTTGTGCAGATGTCACGGCAATGTCACGTTTATTCAATTCTGAAACTTTTCTATCCCTCTCCTCACCATTTTGAACTGCGTATCGCATTTCCTCAAACTTTAAGCTAACCTTGGAAATTCTGATGCCGAAGCGAGTGAAATTTCTCAAATTAAAGCCACTGCTAAAGCTACACTGATCTCGCGCGTGTCAACGATGTCCAGCGCCATATGCATTTGGGATCGTGGTTTCAAAGCAATTCAAAAACGTATCATGCAGTTCAGAGTCCAAAAATGCTCAATTGCAAACCATTGAGGCAGATACATTAAGGGATACTGTGCTGAAGAGCACGTTTAATTTTTCATTTCTTTGCATTAAATCACTGACCGAAACGTTTTGCGCGTGATGTGAAGAAATAAAATGCATTTCATACTATTATAGTGACATTTATACTGATATTGGAGACAAACATTCCCATAAACCAGGAACAGTCATGCTACTTTCAAGCAAATTCTCTGCAGAACCAACGTGGCCAACTGAACAGTCTTGCTCATAAGTGATATTAAACTCTTAGTTCATATGTTTGGTTAGTAACTAAAGAAACGTATATTTACAACCTCAGAAATGAAGCTCTGAATTAATTATGTATTTGACAATAAATGAATATAAACAAACAGGAATACCGGTAGTACAGTCAGGAAATGCTTTCAGAATGGATATTTATACCAAACTGATTTATGATTAACTATCATTGCTTCGAGAACACTTGCTGGTGGACACTAATTATTGCTGTTACTTTGGCAAACGTTTGTACTCGCGTCAGTCTTTCACGTTAATTTTGTCTGTCAGTTCAAAAGATTAATGCATTGCAATGAGGACTGAAATATCCTGCATATTTTCAATGGTTCTCAGTTTTTATTTGCACATTTGCACCAGGAAGAAGGCTGGGAAATCAGCTGGTCCGCACCTTTTCTACTATTGAATTGCCAAGCTGAGCTCAAGTAATTTGACCAGCGGACGGAATTCTGGAAGGTTTAATTCTAAATATTTAATACTAATTTCAGTATCGTAGTTGCTGGGTATGGTAGTTGTTTTCTATATGGTTCTACATGCCCAATCGATTGAAATTAATTTGCTGGTAATAGCAACTTTTCATTGCGTTAAAGGTACGTTGTTCAATGCCGTAAAGTGATAATTAACAGGCGCAAATAATGAGAAATCATAAACCGCAAACTCGTTCGTCACTGAAGTACGTTTTCTAAGTATATATTCAAGGTACTGCTTTCAATACGCGCAAAAGGCATATAATTATGGGCACAAAAAAAGGAAATTCTCTGCAATACAAGGAAGTCAGTTGTTCAATGTAAAAATAACGAAATAAGAACCGTCTTTAAATTGTTTATTGATGAAGTTACCTGTTAGATAATTTTAAAAAGAAGATAAGGGATGTAGAAACGAACAAATGATATATTAACAGCTGTTAAATCATCATGTATAATGAATTCATAAAGATTAGTATGCAAATACGTACTCAAACAAATCCTCCGCTTCGACAGTTCTGATGGTAAGAGAAAAAACCTAGGATGATAAGAAGTTATTACACTATAATAAAACACACTGAGACTAACTTAAATCATTTTATTGGGTTGCTAGACGAATAAAGTATTGGACTATAATGCAACTTTGGAAAAAAAGGCAAAGATGGCTTATAAGTGAGATCTAATAACTAGATCATGACAATGGAGCACCCATAGAAAGCTTAGCAAAATATAAACTGAGAACAAGTATATCCTGTATTATTTCATCTCGAAAAATTCACTGTAGCAGTGAAAGAAGTTCCCCAATTTCACAGAATGTCTAAAACTATTTTACTGCAAATAGATTAAATTTCAGAAAGGGATAAAACGTTCCTTCTTATAATATAAAACAGAAGACAATCATTAGTTAAAATCTCAGTATTAAAGGTACGGAGTGCACATTTTTAAACCGACATTGTTTAAAAGATTTGCGGTTCATCAGCAAACGGCATGATTATTTTGCATTGTGTTTAAAAATCGAATTTTTAAAAATATTTGCCTAAATGACGCTCTTCACAATCCAACCTGATCTCCCCCCCCCCCCCCTCCCCTCCACTTACAACGAACGAATGAAGGAATTAATGGCATACGCAGAAGTGTACACTCATAAGCCTTTAAGAAAACTGTGAAATCATGTCGTTTGTGCTCAAGTGATGGATATTACAGTGATCATACGGCCATGAGTATAATTGACCTTGCAAACGTGAGCAACTTTCACAATTTCCCTCGCCAAAATTCAGAAGCGTAAAAACTGAGAGTTAGAAGCAAAAGTTGTCCATTGCCAAAATGCTACAAGTCGGTGTTCACATAATGGTTTTTGGCAGCGTTGGTCTTTTTATGACGCAAAAGACATGCCTCGGAACGTTAACTCTTTAAAA